CGGCCCAACGCTGCGAACTCTGGCCGGAACCCCTCGCCGCTCTCCAACACCATGTGGCACTCGTCCACCACCACCCGGTCCAACTGCTGCCACGCCTGCAACCGGTTGACGAACCTGCGGAACCCCTTCGTGCTGGCCGACTCGGGCGTCACCAACACGATCGCCGCCGCCCGCCCGGCCTCCCGCCCCGTCCATACGTGCGTGTCGATCCCGTGCTCCCGGCACCGTCGCAATAAATCCTGCTGCAACGCCACCAACGGCACGACCACGATCGTCACCCCGTCGCCGCCGCTGCAATACCCGGGCAACATGAACGACAAACTCTTGCCGCCGCCTGTGCCCGTGATCTGCACGATCGGCGTCGTGCCGCGGAATATCGCCCTGATGACCTGCTCCTGGCACCCCCTGAACCGCACGCCCTCGCCCATCATCTGCTCCAACTGGCCCTGCACGTTCGTCATCCGTAACCTCTTGAACCGCCCGACCCTGGCCCTCTCTGCGCTGTCCTCCCATGCATCTCTCTTCCTCTTTGCCATCTTGTCCCTCTGACGGCATATGTCTTGATGGGTATCCCTGTTCGTATCTGGTCGGGAACTTCTGTCCACATACCTGGTGGCCGGACTGCCCTCTGGATGCTGGCGAATATCCTCGGTCATATCTCCTATCGTGGTCTCCTCCCTGTTGGCACCTGGTCGGGAATCCATGACTGGAACCCCCTCTGTCCCGACTGTCCCTCCTTCCCAACCCCCTTCCATCGCTCTTGGGCTGTCCCCTTTCCCCCCCCCCCCCCTCCTCCTCCTCCTCCCATCTCCCTCTCGGTCAACCCTAAAAACTGGTGTTATTGCCTGCTGACCGCCTGGAACTTATCGTGCATTCCCGCTGTGCTAAACATGCTCTATCTTATGTCTAACCCTATAAATTATAACTAACCTAATATTCTATTCTTATAATTCCTTTTACTATTATAAACTAAATATGGGAAATAAATATAAATTATAAATATAAATTATCACTAACCTAATATTCTATTTTATTTATAAATAAAAAACTCTCTATTATTTATTATATATATACTACATATAAAACCATATAACCCTAAAAATCTTTATCTCTCTATTCTTTTTCACCTTTGGGCGCCATTGTCCTTCCTGCCTATCTCCTCTATCTTCACCTTCTTACCCTCTTTCTAACCATCGTTCATCTACTGAATCTTCCTCCTATCTGCACTATTACCTGGCATATCCGACTGCTCTGTATGCTGCTCCCGAACCGTCCTCCCCACTCGATCAACTCCCCTAACCACTCGTACACCCGACCTACCTGCTCCTTATCCTCTACATCTACCTCCCCTATCCCCATCATCTCCCCTACCCTGTCGATCCATGGCTCACCTGACCGCATCACCTGCCCGACGAACAACTGTGCCAACAACCCATCGTACCGACACGAACCCCCCCTCACCTGCCGGAATAACCTGCCGTCCTCGCTCGCCGCTACCCACCGCCGACATAACGCCTGCGGGATCCCGCAATGGTAACACCCTGAAAACCGTGCGAATCGCTTCTTTGTAAACATCTCCTCCTCTATCATCTTGATGCCTTGTACCACCTGTTCCCACATATCCGACTCTCTTTCTGGACACTCCTCTAACTTGTGATCGGTCGCGTTTTGACCCTGCACCTTGCAAACCACACAACACCCTTCCCACTCGGCTAACATGTCCTCGAACGCCTGCACCTCGCACGCCTCCGTCATGACCTGTCTTGTCCTGTCTGCCTGTGCCTGTTGGCCCTTCTGCTGGCTGTGCTGATAACACCTCTCTGCTGACCCTGTGCTCTCCTTGCCGTCTGTCTCGTCTGCCTGCTCCTGTTGGGCTTGTTGCTGCCATGCCTGTGAACGCTGCTGGCATATATCGCATGCCTCCTCGTCCTCCGCGCAACCGATCCGGTCTGTACGTCCGTCCATCTCTTGGTCCAAAACGTCCCGTCTGCAACGCTCTCCTGCTGCGTACTCGACCGTGTCCTCGTCCCACCCACATGCCTGCTGTTCTCCTTCCCCGCCCTGCTGTTGTCCCTGTCGTCCCTGTCGTCTCCATCGCCGCCGTCCTTGCTGCTCGTCTAACCACGACTGCCGTATGACTACCACCGACATGCTCTTCTGCCCGCCACGCCCGCCGCGCCCGCTCTCCTGCGCGAAATCCTCTAACCGTCTCGGCATCCCTGCGTGGACTACCAACCCGACGTCTGGCTCGTCGATCCCTAACCCTAACGCGTTTGTCGCCACGATCCACCCTGACGGGCCGCCTGTGCTCTGCCGCCATGCCTGTATCTGTCGGGCCTTCTCCTCTGCGTTTCCCACCCCTCGCCAATGTGCCGTACACCCTAACGCTACCGCGATCCTCTCTACCCGCGCGATCGTCCCGCCGTATACTATCACCTTCCCTTGCCCCTGTCCGTCTGTCCACCGCCTGACTACCTCGCACACCCGCTCCTCGACCGCCTCGTCCGCCTCGCCTACTTCCTCCCCCTCCACGTTCACCCTGCCTGGCGCCACCCTCCTCTTGCGGCTCGTATTCATCGTCCCTGCTCGGGACTGTGCCCTTGTGTCTGCCTCTGGGCCCTCCCGGATGATATCGATGCTGTACTCAATGTTGCGACGTGTCGTCGCCTCCCGGAATATGCGCAACCGCTCGTGTCGGAACCCCAACTTGGCCGCCAATGCCTGCTCCTGCCCCGGCTTTAACGTTGCTGTCAAACACACAACCGGCAACCCGATGTCCTGTAAAACGCCACCCAACCGTGCCATCTGCGGCCGGAACGTCTTGGTGTGCTGTAACAACGTGTGGCACTCGTCTACCACCACCCGGTCCAACCGGTGCTGGCTGCGCATCCGCTCGACGAACTCTCGGAACCCCTGGCCCGCGGCCGACTCGGGCGTCACAAACACCAACGCCGCCGCCCGCTGCGGTCCTCGGCTCTTCCACACGTACGCGTCGATCCCGTGCCGCCGGCACCGGTCCACCATGTCATCCTGCAACGCCACCAATGGTGTCACCACGACCGTCACCCCGTCGGGCGTGCAAAACGCCGGCAACATGAATGTCAAACTCTTACCTCCGCCCGTCGGTGTTATCTGCACGATCGGCCACTCGCCCCGGACCACCGCCTGGATCACCGGCTCTTGCAACCCCCGGAACTCGGCCGTCGGCCCCAACATCTGCTTCAACTGGCCATGCAAATCCGCCCGGTGCAACTGCTTGAACCGCTTGAACCGCATGTCATCCCTCTCATCATCAAATGCCATCCGCACCCGCTTCACCCCGGCCCCTGTCGCTGGCCCCGGCCCGTCCTCGGCCCCGAACCCGAAAAACCGGTGCCACTGCATGCTGACCTTGCGGAACTGCTCTCGGCTTCGCATCGTACCCAAATCGCCCTGTCCGAACATGCGCGCGTACACCAACCCGGCGATGTGTGACCCGTGGCCCGCCTGTAAATCGTATATGCTGTCCACCAAACTGCCGTCCCCGTCGTCGTCCGCCCCGCCGTCGCCGTCTCCGGCCCCGTCGTGCGGCCCGAATGCCTTGTTGAAATATCGGTTCGCGATCCCGATCGCGATGTGCCTCCACGCGCCGATCTTCAACTCCTGCCCTGAAAACTGCACGCTGTACCGCTGCATCGCGCGCGTGACCCGGTCGCTGGTCCATTTGCTCTCGCGGAACCACTCCATGAACGCGGCCTCCTCCTGCTCCTGCTCTGGCCCCTCGTCCGGTTCGTCCCTGGCATCGCTGCTGCTGTTGATATGGCTGCTGACCCCGTTGCCATTGACGTGGCCACTGTCGACGTCGCCGCGACCTGCCTGTCTCGTGTGCACCTCCCTAACCCTGCCCTCCTTGCTGCCCGTCCGGCTCACCACCTGGTCGGCCCATAAAAACGCGCTCCGGACGTGTTGCTGCTTGATCCTGCCCTGCACCTGCTGCCAAAACGGCAAAACCAACCACATATACCACACCAACAACTCGCCGACCTCCCGTGGCAAATACCGGTGTATGACCTTGATCGTGTCCGTCCTTCGGAACCCCTTGTGGTACATCGTGACGAAACATACCATGCCCTTATGGACGAATATGTTGCGTACGCCGCCGTTGGCCGTGTTCCACATCCGCAACCCCAAAATCTCGGTCGACCGTGCCGGCTGCCCCCCCAACATGTGCATCAACACCCAAATCTGGCCTCGGAACCGCTCTACGGCCTGCTCGTAATCGCGGATCGCCCTCTCCTTGTACGGGCAATCCTTGTTGGCCGGCTGCGTGATCCATCTCTCTTGCCTTGCTGTCGAACCCAAAATCTGCTTCATGACCCATCCGTGGCCGGCCTTCGTCCATGCTTCGTTGGCTTCGTCGTTCAAAAACGCGTGCCCCAACGCGCTTTCGCCGTGCCGGTCCTCGATGTCGTGCCATGGGATCCGTGGCAATGCCCCCCGGATGTCCACCTCTGGCTCCTGCCCACCCCCCTCGATCATGGTCAACCCGGCCATCGTCCGCCGTGCCTCCTGCAACAAACTGTGCATCATGTCGGACAACCTGCCCATGCCCAACCGGACGTGCCCGTGTATGATCTCGTCGCCTCGCCAATCGATCGCCTCGCTGCCCGGCGTCGTATATCGGATGTGCATGCCGTATGTGCGCGTGTTGATGATCCAATTCATCGGCGTCGGCTCTGCCTCCTCGTCGTCCGGAATCCGCGTCATGAACCGCCGCACCTTCCTGCGCACGATCTTGAACAACCCATCTACCTTCTCCTCCGCCTCTTGCCGCTCGCACCCGGTGCCCCGCTGCCGCCGCTGGATCCATGCCTCGCGCTCCAACATGGACTGGTACAATACCAAATACCGGCCGACCTTGGTCACCACCGAATAAATCGGTGTGTAATTGACGACTCGCACCCACCCTCCGCACGGGTCTAACCCCATGACCGCTAATGCGCTGATGATGATGCTCTCGTAATGGTTGCCATTCTTGAACGGGTGGTCTAAAAACTCGACGATGGTGTCTAAACACATCCGGTCTGTCTCGGCCTCGCTGGGTCTCGTGTCCTCGCCTGCGATAACCTTGTTGATACCATCCATAAATCTCTGCCACGCTCTGGCCTGTTGGATCGTCATGCGGTACTCCGGTCGACCATGTGCTGGACTGCTGGTCGGACTGCTGGTCGTACTGCTGTTGCCCTCTTCTTCGTCGCTGTTGGCTGTACTGCTGTCGCCGTCGTCTTCGTCGCCATCGTCTCCGTCGCTGCCGTGCACGCCGGTACTGCTCTCGGCCGCCCTGTCTCTTTCATCCCACGACTCCATGCGCTGCCAAATGGCCAACAACTTCTTCCACACCTCCTTGTACCGGCCCCACGAATCCGGCTCCATCAATGGCTGGAACGGCTTGCTGGGCGTGATCGTCGTCTCCTTGCGCTCGACCTCGAACAACTCGGCGCTGCCCTGGTGGCACTGCGTCGCCGCCGTGTACGCGCTGTCCAACACGCGGTCCAAACTCTGCCACATCTGCTGCAATACCACCTCGGCGTCGTCGATGGGCTGCAACATGCCCCGCAACCGCTCCTGGTCGGTGTTGGCCAAATGGCGCGACCAACCGCATCGTCGCAACCACCTGTCTGCCTCCCACTTATCGTCTGCCTCGTGCATCTGGGACTTGGCCTCGGCCTCAAACGCCTGCTCTTCCTCTTGGTGTATTTGGGTGATGAATGCGGCCAACTCCTGCTCTGGACTATCGGCCTGGGCCTGCCGGCTGACCGCTTGGCCACGCCCGACCTCGAACCAACTGCTTCCGGCACGATTGGGAAACATCTGTTGGCATTGCACCCCTGTCCGCCATGGCACTGGTGGTAACATTCTTTCTGCTCTTTGGTTGTATCGACCTCGTCTGCGGTTATTCGACCAACTGTGTGCGGCCTCGCAATGCTTCTGCATCTGACGGGTATCACGGACAACATACCGACAACTATTGCAACCCAACCCGTCTGACTTGGGCGGCTTGATGAATGGTATTGGCTTGGTCTCGGGACCTGGATATGGCCATTCTTTTAATTTGGCCTGGTTGTGGATGGCATTGGGAATGGCCTGGGCCATCTGGACGTACGCCCGGGCTTGCTGCTGGCTGATATTTCCATGTTGCTTCTTTAAATGTGCCTTCACCTCGTTGGTGACAACCCCAATCTTACACTGACGGCAAATCACAAATGGGAAATCTGATAACTGCACAAATAACTCCATGGCGGCAATGATTGTTAATGATTAAAAACTATCTACACTTCTACACCACACCCTTAATCTCCCCCTGATTAATTTGGGATGGTTGGTTATCTAATCAATACCCTACTGTCTGGATGACTAACACGCTTTTACTGGGTCTCTTAACCCTAACCCTCCAACCACAACAAAAACTTCAACCTGGTTGCAATGCTGTGATTCTACATTCTACACTTTAAAACTCTGCATACTTACTCTCCTGATTGTTACCTTTCCGTGCATACCATTTTTATTGATTTTCCTGCCTGGAAACCAATTCGGTTCTACCCCCTGCTTGTCAATTCGGTTCTACCCCCTGTAATCATAGCGCCGTTTTATTTTGTATGGGGTTTCAATTCGGGTCTAAGAAGAACCGAATTACAGTTTGTTGTGAG